ACAGGAGCAGCTATTAACTCTATGAGGCTTGTCTTTGGTTTGGGCCACTCGGCCCCTCGAGTGGCCCCTCAACTCGTTGATTTGCAAGCCTTCTGATGTGCTGCAAGTCGTTGATGAAGACGCCGGTGGAAAGGCAGCTGTCGTCTTTGAAGCACTCAGCTCCCCCATGAGCCATGCTGGGCATATGCTCAGATGTTCATCGACGCTCATTCCCGGGCGATGCCCCATGTCCAAATTCCAGAAATGGCAAGCAACAACATCTCATTGCATCTTCAAAATGATTCTGGCTCGCAACGGGAGCAACTGCGGTAATACAAGCCACACAAAAAACAAGCAACTGCAATAAGTGGCCTTGTCAAACACAGCAGCCGCGCAAAAGGGCAAACCCCTCAATTCAGGAAAGCCTGGCGAGCCTCAAGATGTATGAACATCGCCATGCTCTTGAGGCAGGCGCAAGAACTGGGCCTGGCACTCAGGCCCGCGTGCCCCGCAAAGCCGAAGAGGAGGAGTTCATCGAGTATGACCCTCAGGACTGGCAAAAAAAACAAGAGAGAGAGAGAGAGAGAGATTCGCAGGTGCCATCAGCCGGTCTCTTTGGGATTTTCTCCGATTGGAAAAGATTTTGGCTTGCCTTTTCTTTGAACATCCCCACTCAGATTTCTGCAGCCCAGGCAACCCAGGCCCGGTTTTTCCCATTGGTGGGGTTTTCCTCTCATTTCAACAACGGGTCGCCTTTTCTTCCATGGCTTCCATTTGCTGAAATGAAAACATATCTTTTTCTCCCGTGTTGGCTTTAAAGGGAATCGATTTCACTACTGGACATTTTGTTTAGATTTTCCCTTGTTGGTTTTAAAGGGAATCGATGTCACTACTGGAAATATATTTTCATTTTTCCATTCGTCTTCACCAAATGAAAGATGGTGGGGTGTTACAAAACCGCTCCGTCGATGAAATCGAGGACTGGGTGAAGCGAGTGAAGATGATTGAGGGCGAGCGAGCTGTCTTCGATGCGGCTTCACTGCATTTGCCAACGCACTTGTGCCGTGGTCACTTTTCTTGGTGGCTCCCAGCCATCCGGTTCCTTAGCTTCTTAGCCTTTTAGTGTTTCGTGGTAGGTTCCATGTAACCCGCTAAAAGTTAAACTTTAGCGAGGGCAGCCCAGCTTTGACTCGTTGGCTTGGTACGGATGGTCACCCCATGGAGGATGTAGACTGATGTAAGGTGTGGTTGCTTGGTTGCCTTTCTTTTTTTTTTTGGTTGGGTTGGTGAGTTGGTTCTCAGTCCAAAACCTTTTGACCCAAAACGGTTTTCCAAGCTTGGCCCATTCGTCCAGGTCCCACGTGATCAGCTTTTAGATCCAGGTCCCTTAGGCCAAGCTGGTGAGTCCGTGAGTGGTTGGTTTGAGTTAGCCATGAGAGCCCAAGCACAAGAGCGAGCCATGGGAAGCTTCAAGGGATGCATTGGGCCGGTTTTTGTTCGCAGTCGGGCCGGTTTTGGGATTCGATTTGATGTTTGTTCAGGAGAGGAAACGGAAGTGGTGATTTGGTTGGATCCCTTGCGTGTGGGGGCTCCTTCCAGGCAAACATTAAGAGATCACCGGAGGGCCAAATGAGCGTCTTCTCTGAGGGTCCCGCACTAGGGGTCTTCCTGAGTTCCGTCTCTGAAGCACACTAGGGTGAAAGTAGATGCGACATTTTCATTGTGGGCATTCTATTTGATTCTATCTACTTCCTGAGTCCTCCTGAGCAGTTTTGTCCAGTTTGGGTTGTGCACCCGCTCACCTGACTGGGCCAAACGACCAGTTGGGGAGTAAGGGGCACCCCCATGCTTTAGGGTCCCAAAAGCGGTTGCCATTTTGATGGGTTCTCAAAATTGCTTTTCAGTCTCCACTAGTTCCCCCAAGCAACCATATAGACTCGGCAATCCTGAGGACGTCAACTTACCAGGAAATTTAGGAGTCCCTTTTTGCGTTTTGTCCGAGAACCAGCCGCGAAACCAGGAGATAGATTCTGTTGGCATGGCTCTATGGGACCAAAAAGGCCGCTTAGGGGGCCAAGCGAGCGATCCGGCCTCCGAATGCCTAAGAGCCCTTGAGAGCGCCAGGCGTTCTTTACCTGCTGCGATAGGGGGAATGCGAAACGGAACGAAACTTATAACTTATAAGACGCATAAGTGGTTTTCGTGGTTTCCTTTGAGGGGACCCCTAGGTTCATTCCCTCATGCCCTACTGAGCACCAGCAAGTTTAAGGACATATTGTATAGGTGACGTAAAATGGTTGTTCGGCAATGCTCAATCTAAATGTTAGAGCATTTGCCAAGTCAATTGGGTGACTTAAACTGACTTTCCTTGTTTGTTTGGTAATTTTATCATTAGCAATGGTCAACCCAAAGCAAGCGGTCCCGTCCCGTTTAATTAGAGACAATCCATAAATGGGTAGAAAGACATCAATGGGCATTTCAATATGTGCCCGAAACGGACATCATAATTCGGGGATTCAGGCAACCACCAACCATTATTTTGGTCCATGTTGAAGGTCTTCTTGCTTCCATGTGAAGAATTCATAGGTCCATGCCTGCAGAACCCACCAAAGCCGAAGCGGAAGCGAGCCGAGCCGCGAGCTCGCGAGGTGACGATCCCCAAGCCGCTGGGCTTGGTGCCGGCCAACTTCCCCAACCGAAGCTCGGCTTGGGTGGGTGGGGGGGAGTTGGGGGTGGGGGGTTAGGGGGTGGGGTGGGGGGTGGGGGGGAGTTGGGGGTGGGGGGTTAGGGGGTGGGGTGGGGTGGGGTGTTGGAGGTTGCAGAGGCCGCGTTGTTCTTTGGGGGGGGGCTTAGGGGTTGTGGGGTTTGGGGTGGCTCCCTTCAGATCTGTGTGTGGTTTTTGAGGGACTCTTATGATTTCCCCTGAGAATCAGTGGGTTTCTTCTTGGATGGGGATGTCTCCTTAAAGTAGCGTTTGTCCACATTTTGAAGGGAGCTCTTTTTAACATCAGATTCCGAAGAAGGGGGTTCTTTTCCTATTGCCACTGGGAGTCTGGGATTTTGCTGGGCTCAGGCAATCTTGAATCTTGGGCGGTCTCTTTGGGCAACAGTCATTTGGCTTGAGAGGGGGAAATTTGCCGTAGTTTCATGCTAAGTTCGGATGAATCTGGAGGACCCTAGTCAGACCCCCCTGCCGCGGATCATGTCCAAACTCCTTAGGAAACGACCCCAGAATCGCGCGAAGAGCTTCACATCGCCCACTCAAGTTCAGTTGGCAGTCTCTTCTTGGCTCCAAAGCAGGCGGGGCCAACCACTTTGCCGCATTTTATTTATTTGTTGTTCCTTGAGGCGTTTGTCAGTCTCAACATGTTTCAAGCTTATGGATTACATGAAACCAATGTATGCTTTTAAGGCAGTTTGTTTCAACCTTCCCATTGACCCTGCGCCGTGTGTTACCAATTCGCCAGCTCCGCGCCCATTCGAGGCCCCGGAGTGGGAGTCGCCAAGATCACCCCGGACTGGGCGATGGGGGGGAAGCGAACCCAATGGACTGGGTCCTTCTCGGGAAGTGATCGGATTTTTGATTTTCGGGATCAAAGTTGGAAACTGATGGGTGGTTTCCCCTTTAACCCATTTCGGCCTGGGCCTTTGAAATTTGACTTTGATAGTGGTAAAATAACGGAGTCAGATGGATCGCAGTCGTGGTACATGCTCCCCCTTCAGCCGGTTTCCTGCAAGTAAGGCACCAATAAAACCTGACAGGCACCAATGTCGAAGTATCCTATCAGGCGCCCCTCAAAGAGGGGACCCCTGGAAATATCCCCCAAAAGTAGTCGCTATTAGCTACACGGATTGGGTGGCCCCCGATTGGGGTGGCCCGGATTGGGGTGGCCCCAGTTTTGTGCCTTCTATTGGGGTCTGACAAGCATAGGAAAGTATGCCTCAAGGCAGTATTGACCCTTTCTCTTCACCGCATGGATTGATTGCCTCAGGCTCCAAGCTCCGGTTCCCGACTTCTCCTGAAGCAGGCCCTTCTTCATTTGAGTGAGTGCTCCCTCTGACCAGAACCCATTACTGTGTCACCAGCTTCCCCGACAAAATTGAACAAAACACAAAGATCAAGGATCGTAAAGGCCAACCGGCTGATAGAGAAAGGATTTTGGAAGTGGCTACCCCCCTGCAAATTATCATGGAACCCAACAAGGAGGGCTCCTCAAAGATCCTCAAGGCATCTTCCTTTGCAAAGTTGGGGTTCCATGTTAATCTGCTTGAGGGGAACGACATGATTTTCCGATTTGGCTCTTCGCAGGTAGTCCAACAATATAAGAATGGTTGACATGGTACATTACGGGACGGAGCCATTTAGTATGATTCAGAGAGCAACGAAAAGGGACACCCGTGTTTGCGTCCACCTCTTTGCACATGCCCGCCTTTTGTCTTAAGGCGCTACAAGAAACACGACCAGCCGCGCTGTTGGGCGAATGCTTGACTTTCTAGAGACCCTGTCGGGTCACGAACCTCTCAGAGAGTCGAACCACGAAGAACCCCCCCCCACTCTACGAAGGTTCTGAGAGTCTTGCTTGAGGGGGGTTGGGGGGCTTTTGTTTTCCTCCTTGGTTAGGCCCACGCCTGAATCTTTTGCTGAAGACGGAACCCCAAAGCCATCCATTTTTTTAGGATTGGAACCCCCTTTTGCAGGACCGCTGGTTTGGGTGGGGAGTATCTGAAACCATGAGTGGCAGGGATGTGTTCTGGGCTTCTTGTCAATTGTGCTTGCTAAATGTGATATAGTCAAGGTTGGGGCAAAAGCCGAGGCACTTCCTTTTGCGGCTTTCAAACACCAACAACCGCCAGAAAAAATAAAAATGAAAGAAACAACAGCAAGAAAAACGAAGCCAAACCACGTGTGCAGTATCTGAAACCTCAAGGTTTGGGGTGCCTTGGAGTCTGGTCCGATCCCATCCGCTGCATTTTCGGTGAAAAATCAAAAGGGCGTGGGATGCCAAAGGCATCAACGCGCCATGGCACGCGTCAGCGCGTTGGGCGACCGCACATCCAGGCGAGGCGAAGGGTCAAAAGCGGCGAACGCAGGGGGTCTCTTCCATATTCTCTGGGGGAGGCCCAAAATACGTCTTGAGATAAATGCATCTTTGTTGCACATGTTGTTTTACTGGGTCACCCTTTTTTGGGGAGGGTTCCCCTACTAAAATAGACTGCAGAACAAAGGGTACCCTTATTCTAACCTCTCCTACTGGAGGACCTAGTTTAGGGCCCAACAAATGAAGCAGAATCTGACAACCCTGGGCCAGCGTGGCTTTCTGAATGTCAGCCCGCGGTCGTGTTGAAAGGAGAACCGGGCTGTTGAACCAATGGTTCAAACATGTGAGGCCCAACCAAGGCGTTCACTGGCCAAAAGCTTGCCTGAGTAATTTGGTTGCTTGTTGGTTTGACTTGTTTTACCTTTTGGAAAATGAGTGTTTCCCCACTAAAGTCTTGCCAGGCAAGAGCAAGCAAATTTGGAGCATTGCGTGCACACCCGCCAGAGCCACTGCCTAGAGAAACGAGCTGGCCTGCTGACCGTGCTGTTGAGCCTGTCAGGCTTGCCCTGAAGCCTTTTGCTAACTTCACTATGAGACATGATCTACTCAGTTGCCCAAAGCGAATCGACCTCTTAACCTTTCGGTTTTCCAAGTTTGGCCTATCTTTAGTAAAGGCAACCCAAAAGGTGATCACCTTTTCTTCCTGGGTCCCTAAGGGGCGACTGAGTCTAGAGTCGAAAAGTGGAACCTGTGATACTTTTTTTGGCGGCGGCCAAAAGCTGAGGGACTACCCCGCAGAAGGTCGCGAGCTGATAGACGGCGGACGCTGGCTATTGATAGGAACTGTTTTGTTTCTTCATGTGTTTCCTTTTTTTAAACAGGGGGAAAAACACAAAGAAAGAAACAACCAAATATCCATCTATCATCTCGGGGATGTCCATGTGTTTGAACATGGTGTGGTGCCATCAGGAAACCAACCACCTGGAGGTATGACGAATATTTTTTGGAGAAGGCCTGTAAGAAGGCCAAAGGAGGTGCACCGGCTTCTTCTGGAAGCCCTTTCTCATTTTCAGCTCCGCCAGGAGGTTCACATCATGCGGAGGTATGGCCCCCCCCCCACCCATTTTTGTTGGCGATGAGGTCACAGTGGAGACCTGGTCTATCAGGCCTGTTTACATATTTCTTATATGTCAAACACATACACATAATACGAGCAATGATATATATACATATATATATATATATACATAATGCGCGTTTGTGGCGAAGCAAATCCACGAAATATTCACAAGAAGAATGTGTTGGGTTTCTCCGGCCTCATAGACGCCATGGAGCCCATGAGTTGCGCCCCCGAAGCGTGCCAGGCAGCAGGTGGACGAGCCGTGCAGGCAGCCGGAGCTTCACAAGCTTGATGCCTATCCTTGGGCAGGCGCGATGCAAACCGTGGAATTCCATGGCTTCATTGCTATTGGGTTGGATCGCCAGACTTGAACTCTTGGGGAAATCAAGGTGTTCTTCCATCGAATCAAGAAACAGCTATGCTTGGTTGTTGCAGATGGGTCAACAGCAACCAAGGCCAAGGTGAGATTGCTCTGGAACGCGGATGTGTGATCAAAAGGTACCTTACCTGTGGTTGGCAGGGGTCCTAAGCATTTGATGGATTTTTGACCGCCAGGGTGCCGCAAGGATTGAAATTGAAGGGGATATGACCATGGCCCTCACTTGGATTTTTGATTCTGGCAAGTATGGCCGTGTTTTGTTGGAGGAGTCCTGCCGATGGGTTTTTTCAGGAAGCCAACCTGCGAATCGCGCCTTGGGCTCGTCCAATGAGAGCTCATGTTTGAGCCTTCGGGTAGCGCCAAGGCTAGGGAAGCCGAAGTGGAGTGTTGCCTGGAAGCAGCTTGACATGTGACGGCATCAAACTGCTCCCCCTCCCCAAGTCTCCAAGTCTCCTAGTCCAATTACCTCGGGCGGCCTGATGAACTTTGGTAAAGCTAGCCTGGCAGTCTTTCTGCATGGCCCATGAAAAGCCGGAACATCTGTGCGCTGCAAGTGAAGGCTTTGCGCTAGTTCTGGGCAGACTACGGCGACAGAAAGCAGCCTTCTTTTTCAGGGTGCCCGTTCAACGGGTTCCAACAAACGGGGTTCAACGGGTAGTTCTCGGCTTGGCAAACGATTCACCCGGAAGCAAAGGAAAAGATCAGGTCACCTTTGGGTAAGTAGGCCCGCTTGGTGCGTGTGGCCAACCGCCCAAGGTGCGCAGTTGCCTCCCTAGTCTTCCTTCTTTTTCTTTTTTTTTTTTGGGGGGGGGAACGTGCCAAGGGGCAAAATGCGTTTGAGCCCGGTTTTGGTTTGGGGACGCCGTCGTGCATTTAGCCTTCCAAGTGCGCCACACCATTTCTGGGCAGTTTTCGAGACGTTCCTTGTGAAACAGGTAATTGGACCACTTTTTGAAACTGGTAAAACAGGTTTGTGTGTCTCAACATGCAAAGTGGGTGGCTCTTTGAACTGCCTTTAGCACAACCCCAGCTTGAACGGTGCCCAGTGCGGACTCACCTGGCTTTGCAGAGAGAGCATTGTCCGATCGGCTCAATGGGGAATGAGGGTGACAAGGGATCCTGCGGAGGCATCCCCCTACATGGGTTCGTCTCAAAAATTGAAGAGACCCCCAAAACGGTCCGGTTTCCTTTTGGTGTCCCTTTCAAAGCAACCAGAATGGTTCCAAGACACAAGCGACTCACCCACATGATTTGGAGTACTGGCGTGACACTGGAATGAGATTTGTGGGTCCCTACACTCCACTTTAGAGGCTATAGGTTGAGAGAGTTCTTTAACCATGCATGTGGCTTTATTTCCATGGGAATCCAGTTTTAAGTATTGATGGCTGTCAAGCAAGCAAACATACTTTTCTTCCGAGTACTTGGGGAATTGCAGGACACACGGAGCCGTTGCCGTACTCTTTGCTTCTTGAAGCCAACAGAGAAGCCATCCTGTATTCGGCGCGTTGGGAGCCGAAAGTATTGAAGCATAGTGCGGTGTGACAGTCTTGTTGCAAGTCGGGATGCTTTATCAGCTGCAGTGGCGTCCCTGGATTCAGACAAGAATTCCTCAGCGCAAACAGAGCAACTATGATATTGCAATATTCTTCCGTCCAGTCACTTGATATGTGCTTGCACCAGTTGCGCAGTCTCCTGAGTTCAGCACTCAAGCCTCAAAGTTGCAGTTTGGGTCGCTTCCGGGCGAAACCGAAACCCGCTATGTCGCCATGCGCTCGTTTCTGCTCGCCGTGCATGGCGTCCTGGGCTCCGACGTGTCGGGCCAGAAGTGCGACAGTCGGCCCATCGCGCCGGAGGTGGAAGAGTGGTGCGAGAGGAGACCAGAGTCGCAAAGCGGCTGGGGTCTCGAGCTCTAGTTTGTTGTCTAAATATGGTTATGGGGCATAACCTATGGCCATTTTGGGTGGATGAACATCCATTTGCCACCTATTTTGATGTTCACCATGGATTTAGGGTTTTGACCCACAGCCATATGAAGCGAACTCTTGTTAACTATTGTTCTTTTCGGGCAAGGGCCAAGTTGCCACGGTCCACGGTAGGCCTTGGAGATCCAAGACTTGGCTTTGCCTACCCCTCACCTCTGGAAGTGCCAGGAATGGGAGGCCATATCTCTTTGACAAACGGGTGTGCCCGTTTGATCTCCTTTTTTGCGGGGGAGGAGGGAGCGTGGAGTTCCCCACAAATGTGCAATCTAAATTACTGTGGTTCAAAGGATGGTTCAAAAGGACATCACTCCAAAAGTCATGTTGAGAAGCCCTCACAATGCATCCCCTTTACATGGCTGGTCTTTCACCTTAGCCTCTTAGACTTTTTCGAAGCACTTGTCTTTTCAATCCAACCTTGAAAAGCTCCAACGCCTTTCTGCTCAGGGAAGAGCCACACAGTTGAAGAGACCGACTTGTGGTTGACTTTTGGTTTCCCACAATCAAAACCAAGTGTGCCTGATGTTTGTAGTTGCTACCCTGTGTTGGGGACCCAAGTTTGAAGGTGTTCTTATGTTTCTTTCTTGTGCGCAGTAGGGAATGATGCAGGGTGTTGCGAATGAACCTAGGGATTCCCTTTCGAGGAAGCTTTAGGGATGGTTTATACCCTCATTTCCTGCTGAGTCCCCAAGAAAAGTTGCTGGTGCCATAGGGAAAAAGGGAATGAACCCAGGCTCGGTCCCCTGAAAGGAAACCAGTTGGATGGTTTACAGGGGGTGATTCCCTCAACTCTTGCCGAGAACCAATAAAGTTTTGTCAGTTCATCTCCTGCCTTTCAGCGGGCCGCAGGAGCTGCACGCAGCTGCTGGCGTTTCTGCGCATGCGAGCGCCCTTCCAGTCCATCGACATGAACATCTTCAATGCGGCAGAGGCCCGTGCGGAAAAGATTTGAGCACGAAGCTCGGGGGCAAAAGAAGCTCAGCCATGAGGGTCGCCACCAAAAAACCCCGGGGAAATGGCGATCGGTTTTTGAACAGAACGCTGGCTGAAAAGAATGGGGAATCACCCCCTAGATCCATGTATTCGAATTATCATATTTGCCCAGGAATAGATGACATGGGCGAAGTGTCAGACCCAATCTGAAATGCTTGCGGGGTGCGATTAGTCGCCATGGTGAGCCTGGGCTTACTGGTCTGACAGTCGCTTTCAATTTGCCAGTTGCTCGCTACCCGTTCTTTCTCCTCAACCACAGGTTGCTCCTCACATTGGTGGCTTCACACGCTGACTGGGCAATGCGAATGTGTTAAGTGGATGGCCCTGCGGGTTTTGTAGCTCCAATGTTTTTTTTTGGGGGCCATTTCTGGAAGCCCATTAAGAGCTTCATCCCCCCCTCGCGGGGCAGACGTTACGCTCACGCCGTTCTATGGCGGCTGTGGATGCCAGGGGAGGCCAGCGCCAGGGTCCCTCGGTCCGGAGTCGCGAAAGCCATCGGGGCATCCCATCGGGGCCTTGAGCCAGGTGCTCAAAACCCGGGTAAAGGTTAAGGCACAATCCCAGCCAGAAAGAGCTGCGGAAGTCCGGCTTCGTTCTGTACATAGTGGCGGAATTCCGGCTTCTTAGTTCTTGAAGCCTGGTCCTGGGTCCAATTTTCCGGGTTTTGAGCCAGTGACTCCTTGACGCCCAGGCGATGCACACCTGGTCCTCGTGTCCCACGGCGCATCGGGGCCTGCTGCTGGCGCGGGTGGCCCATCGGCTCAGGAGCCGGGCCCGGAAGCCTCGGTGCGGGGCGCCAACTTTGAGCCCCTTTTTGGGGGGAGAGTCGGTGCCCCTAAACTAGGCTGCAGAAAAAGAAGGAAAAATCGGGGGGGCCCTTATTCTAACCTCTCAAATCTGGAGGACCTAGAAGCGTATCCTTGGGGTGGGTTTGAAGGGAAACCAAAAGGAAAACCGCATTGCTTGAGGGGCCCCCTAGAAAAAGGAATACCCACCTGGTCGGTGCATGGGCAGTCCCATGTCGTTGCTCAAGGTTTGTTTGAAGGGGGACCATTTTGGTGGAACAACAAAGCAATTTGCTGCATGACTTGTATCCTACAACTTGGTTGCCTGTCGCTCCGAGTCGCTCCTGACAGCAACTGTGAGTTTCCTGGCTGCATGCAGCAAAGGCAAGCGCAGAATGCCGGCCGCCCACCGCCGAAGTTGTTGAATTTTGGGTTCGAACTCACGCTTCGCGTTTTTGAAAGAGGGGCAACCATATTGCCTCAATTTGTATCGTCTCGGCCGTGTGGCTGCACCTGAATGCCTGCCAACCGTAAGGGTAAACCCAGATGTGATTACTTTACTGTGCCTGAATAACGCCTCTTGTTTCATTGTGCTGCGAGTATTTGCGATGTTTGTCATTTGGAACTTGTGTTTGTCCTTTCTCTTTGTTTGGGGAGTTGTCCGAAAGGGTCAGCCCTCGCAGATTGTTAGTGGGGGTCTGTGGGGGCACCTCTTCTTGCAATTGTGCAAAAGGAAGCATGGTCTTTCTGGCTATTTGGCGGTGGACCCGCAGTGGGGCCCGACAGCAAGCGAGTGTTGTGTGCGGGGATCTCGAACCGATGTTTGAACAACCCCATACTCGCGTCCCATTTGCCAGGGGGATGGATTCTCAGGCTGCTTCAGTGAAAAACACCACGGGACATGCACCAAACCCAGCTCCATGTTTGGTCTGCTCGATTCTTCTCAGAGGTGTGTGACTTTGGGAAGGGGATAAGGGAGTCACAAGCCTGCAACGCGAGCCTACAAGCCCCCCAAACGTACGAGAGATTGCGAAGGAAAAGGGTGGAGGGGCACCCAGTTCCCTTCTTTTTTCTCCGTCGCCTAACCCTAAACCCACCGCCACATTGACCTAGTTTAGTCTTGCATGATGTGTGTGTATTCCCGTTTTTTTCCGTCGCCTACCCACAAACCCA